GCACGTAAAAGAAATTATTCCACAATCATTGCTATGCATTTGCAATATATGTGAATGTAAATTAATTAACCTCTAGACATGTTTTGGAGGGAAAAAACATTTTGAGGGATTAAAACAGAGTGAAAAACTATTTTATTCACATATTCAGTGTTTGTTTATGACAACAGTGATAATAGCATGTATTATTTTCTGTGGTCATTCTACTATTCATGTCTATAGAAATTATCGCTTGTGGAAAAAAAATAGATCTGGATCATACTAGACTGATTTTTTTCATGTCAGAAATGACTTGAGAAACTGCAAGTCGCTTTTGGTGTGAGAGAATTAGCCGTCTGAAAGGATGTTGCCCAGGGAATGTCTGGATGTTTTACCATCCTGTGGGAGGCTTCTCTCATGTCCCCACATGAGAAGCTAGAGCTGACAGATGGGAACTCCCCCACTCCCCGGATTCAAACCGCCAACCTTTCAGTCAACAGTCCTGCCGGCACAAGCTTTGCACCACTGGGGGCTACAGACCGATAGATTCAATGAACATAACAGAATACCCAAATCAATCTGTCAGTCTATTGTGGGGACGGGGAGACAGAGCCTTCCATATTTTATTAGGTATTTAGTAGAATGGATCCAGATGTGCAGTCTTTTGAATGGAATGACGTCTGATGCTGTGAAACTTCCATCTTGATTAACGGAAGAAAATGGTTCTTCCTCCCCATTTTTCATTCAAAAATGAGTTTGTGAAGGATCCTAAAAGGAATTCCTCTTTCTTGCTTTTTATTCTTGTTCTTGAGCTTTCCTAATAATTAGTCAAGGGAAAATGTCACATATTTTATATAGATTTGTCTCTGTTCATGACAAACACAGTGCTTGCCTTTAAAAAATGATTTTAGGCTTTATCAGCAGTCAGTTTTTCCTGTTTAAGGATATCACTGCATTTTTCAGATTGTTGTCAGGTCACTGTATTCTATATTCCTGTTAACTGGATATTTTCAAACCAGTCTTTCTCCTCAACAATTTTTAAATATTATTAACTAAGATTACTTTTTAAAATTCAGCAGATCAAAAACATACAAATGTGAGTACAATAGGTACCGCTTCGGCAGGAAGGTAACATCGCTCCATGTAGTCATGGCCTAAAAATGGAGATAAGCATTATCCCCCAGAGTTGAACTCGACTATATTTAATGTCAGGGGAAACCTTTACTTTTATCTTTACTTAAAAAAAAATAGATTGTGGGTTTTTGTTTTTTGTTTTTGCTGTGACTATTGAAAACAATGAGGCAATCTTTGAGTTATAGTTGGCAGCACATAGTGACAGTTCAGGTTCCCTGGTGTGTCATTTTGCCTAATACAGAAGGCATACTTTTATGAATTAGTACTAATGATTGATCCATTGTCCCTGTCTCTTGCTCCCTCCATGGGGTAGTGATAACATTGTCAAGGTTTTATGGAAATGTGATCTTATAAACTGTTCTCTAAGACGGCTTGTTCACATGGAATTTCCTAAGGAAGTGGTGATGGAAGCCACATGACAGCTGCAGAATATTAATTAGGACTTGTAAACTTTCCACCAGTGATTGTAATTCTCTTTGGGTTAGAATAAAAAATACTACACTAATAGAATCAGAACATTTTGTGTCATTAATGAAGATCTATATTCTGCCTTCCTACGAAATATGACATATTCATGATTAATAAAAAAATAGGAAGTCAGTAACTAGATATTGGCAGGCAAAGACATTTTGAAAGACAAGACCCAGTAACGGAGCTTAGTTATACAAGTCAGATGTGTTTTCTTCCTAATATAGAGCTTCCCACTAAATAATTAACTCAGATTACAAGTGATCAGTGACAGCTTGAGTGCAGATTGTAACTGCTACAATTTTTACTTCCTGACATGTTACTTATTACCTTGAACAAAATATCTTTATAACGTTCATATGCTTGCCAAGGTGCATTCAGTGAGGAGGGTATCAATTTGGAAGAGATGCTTATCTGAGCAGTTCATATTAGCTGCTACCATTCCTTTACATTCCAGTTACCCAGTTTTCATTCCACTTTTGATTCCAGTTCTTCCACTTTGATCCTTGCAACTTCTGCAGTTGTTTTTAATGCATGTGTGAGACCAGCAGCTGTCCCAGATTCCAAGCGTTGGGCGTCAAGGAAGACTTTGCAGAATTTCCCTTCTGATACTGATGGGGAGACACTTAAGACTGTCGCTCAGCTGCTGACCCTTCAGTGGAGCTCTAAGCAAATGTAGCATTAAAGTGAGCTTTTCGGCTGAATTCCTTAGATCCTTCCAGGGCCTGGGGAAAGCCTTTTAAGTCTGAAATTGTTTTGACTGAGGCTAAGGAACCTCTGGCTTCACAATAACACATGCTGAAAAGTAAACAGTTTTTCTGCCCTTTTTCATGGAAAGTGCTTGGGGGATATTTCTCACGGTTGTTTGCAAACACAACCTTTTGCAGTAGATTTTTCCATATTCTGGACACTTCGCACTAGAGAAAAAATCCATTTAAAATATGTTTTCTGCCTCCTGCAGAATTCTGGGGTTTGTAGTTTAGGGAGGAGCCTTTAACAGCTTCACTAAACTATAAACTCCAGAATTCTGCAGAAACTATATTTTAAGTGGATTTTTTCTCTAGTGTGATAAGAAGAAATTGGGAAGTTGCATAGTTACCATTCAGATTAATTACTTATAGCTAAGTTCAGTATTATTCATTACTCAAAGGTAAAACCAGTTACTTTTAAGTAACCTTAAACACATAAATGCTACAAGCTACAAACATGCCTGAATAATGAGGCAAGATACACCCTACTATAAAAATAGCTAAAGCATAGTTCTAGTTAAACTGTAAAATGAGGAGGTTGTCCTTTGATGTGTTATGTTGCAATTGGCTAGCCCAGGAAAAACCTTAACTACAAATTAGCTATGGAAAAAAACCCCAACCAATTATAATTACAGTCACCGAGTTACAAACATTTAACTTACAAATGACTCACAATTATGAACGGAGGTGAGACACCAGGAGGTGAGGGAAATCTACCCCTCAGAAGGGAAATTCACTCCTGGACTTTTGAGGGGCAGTTTTGAGTCCAGACAGTGAAAGTAGTGGGGTTATCCTAAGATGGGGCAGAATAAACCCACCAATAAAATAATTCGCCACAAACCAGGGTTTTCTTGGTTTGTGGTGAATTAGTTCGTGTTTGTCCAGGACATCATCTGGACAGCCCCCTTTTAATTGCGAAACTCCCATGTTAAAGGGGCTGTCTGGATGCACCCAAGTGAGATGGAATAGGTCCCTTATTTCACCTCCATCAGGGAACATCCACTGTAGTTAATGTTTCATTCTTAGTTTCCAAATAGGAAAATGTGTTCTCAGTCTGTGCATTTGAATGTCAAGCTGTAACCAACGGTACTCAGCACAAATTACATAATGCTTAATGTTGTCATCACAAGGGGCTGTAAACCTCAGAACCTGGCATGATGCTGAACTGGCAACTCTGTGTATATTTCATCTTCTACCTAAAGAATGGAAGGCATCATCTTGCATCACACAGCTGTACAGGAGATGTACAGATATTACTTACTACTATACCACCATAAGCATTGTACCTGATTAAAAGTTACTTCCTAGCCTGTTGAAGTTATCTTGTAGTCCATACTCATGTGACAAGGTTGGTAGTGTCATGGCTCCACAAGTATAATCTTTATACTTTTATGCTCAGAGGATTATCAAATTGGTTACTCTTCTTGAGGTACTCCACTAATATAGCTACTCAAGAGGAGGCAATGGCACTAGTGGGGAAACAAAGCTTTGGTGTAGCAACCACGAGGAAAGTCAGGTATTGGAGAAAGATGATTTTTTTCTACCTTCTGCTGTCACTTCTATGCAACCTTGAGAAAAAAAAATTAAGTTACCATTGTGAAACTATAGAAATCTAGCTTAAAGATGACTCCCATACCATCCAACATTTCATGAATGATGCTGGGAAATGTGTGACCAAGGAGCACAAATGTATATGTCTTAGAGAGAAAAAGTTATTAATAAGGAAGAACACACAAACTAGGAGAGGTGTAGTAGTTTGCTTTTGCCTGAGCCTACTGGGAAGGACAATACTTCCCCCTTATCCTCTTTGATCCTGCTGAGTTAATTGAGTGCCAATTACTTTTGTACTTCAAATGCAGTTTGCAGTAATTGAAAAATGCTGAGGATGAAGTGGGAGGAGGAGACGATTGAAGCTGGTAGATTTTTAAAGGATCTGAAAAGTGGGATGACGGTGGATTGATCAGTACTGTCCTTGCTAAATTGGCACAGTTAGAGGGTATGGTGACTCTCTCTTTCATGCAGCGATCACTTCAGATTAGCCACAAAACTTGATAGAGGAAAACCAAAGTGACTAAACATAATATAATAGCATTTTATCAGGGGCATCATTTCTCCCAAACCAAATGTGTACACATATATGTAAGCCTTTGTTTCAAATGAGCAGAACTGCAGGGCAAAGGCTACAAACTGGGGAATGTTTTTAGCTCATTTGAGAGTGTAGTCGTATCACAAGAATGCTGCCAGATTCCAAACAAGTGGTGGAGAGGCAGTCCTGATCAAAATGTCTTTGTTTACTTCCTTGTTTATTTCCAGAGCAGGAAGGAATGCATCTTCAATCTGAGCAATTTTAAAAATTAAATTGAGTAAGTATATCATTGGGAACCAAGGCTGGAGCTTATTTCTTGTTAAGTTTCAAATCTTCCATGTGTACCAAAAGACAGCATGTATTTGAAAGACACTTGATAGCCCCTGATTAACTGCCCAGCTCACTGGAGTCCCAGAAGTATGTCAAAAGCATCTAGGCTTAATCCAAAAGGCTTAGGCGCTATGGCAGAGTAACAGCAGAATCATATGAAAGGTCTCCTATTTCCCCACTTGCTCAGGATGAATATTATTGGCCAAAACTCTGTGTATATTTTTTCTCATACTGTTTCCTTTTCTGTGATTTTTCAGGGGTCTGAGTCCAGCTGTTGCTGAGTTTAATTTATTATTGAAAGCACATACTTTAGAAACCTATGGTGTTGATCCACATCCTTGCAAGGTACAGAATTTGTTTTTTTAATGCTCCCTGCTCCCATATTCAAGGCCATATTCCATCCATTTTTGTACCAGTAGACATGTGCAGCTCCCTTTGTGCAGCAGGTGAAGAAATGGAGGAAAATATTGTCTGCAAAAGAGCTCAAGACTGAAAGGGAAGGGAACTCACATATAGAACTGGATCATTCTATTAGTGACTACAGAGGTGTACATATAATGCATTATTTGATGGACACATGACCCTCCCTACATATTGTATAATCCTCCCTACCCCTCGGAAGGGAAATTCACTCCTGAAAAAAAGTATCTCCACTGAAACTTTATCAGCAATCCTTGTTTCCATAACAAGCTAAAATTTTCAAAACTGAATTATCACAGGGACAGAAAGTGAGGTGAAATCTTCAGAACAGGGGCACAGTCAACAAAACTAACCCCACAGGGGTGTTAAGCTTTCCATATGTGGTCCAGAGTTTATGTTTATATGTGTGTGTGTGTGTGTGTGTTGTTCATAATTTGAGGTTATCTATCTTGTTCGTAACTTGAGGAATGCCTGTATATTAGACCCAGCTCAGCTAGATACTTTGCAGCTCTCAGTTAAGTGGTAATTCATCTTACAAAAGCAAGATGACTGGGAGTGCATCTTACTCTGATGAATCAAATTTGATGTGAGCTAGAACTCAACTTATATAAGGAAAGCTTTCCCCAGATTTCTAAGAATGATGTGGATAGACAAATTGGAACTGACTAGCAATAATATGATGACCAATCTCTGATTTGACTAAAGTGGAGTAATAATGGCACAATAATCATTACCGTAAAATGCTATGGTGTACCTGTAAAGATACGGCATTTCCCCACTAGTACTTACCTGCTTATCCCTTCAAAAGTATATTTGTAATGACGATAATGATAGTAACAATAACAACAATAATACAAATTGTCATAAAGCGTATTCTGTTTTGTGTTTAAGTACTAATTGAAGTGCAAATTTACAGAAACTCAGAAAACATACATGTTTTCACTCAGTAAACTTTTTGTACATTTGTATTCAAAGCCCTCACACTTCTAATTTAAAATTTACTTCTTTTTCTTTCTTTCAAGGATTCAACAGGGACCACAACATTTTTAGGATTCACAGCCACAGGTTTTGTAGTATTCCAGGGAAATAAAAGAATACATTTGCTAAAATGGTGAGCTGTTATTCTGACATTTATTTTTATATCAGAATATTAACTTGAATGTTCTCTCTTTTAGAATGCTTTGTTGAGAAAGTTGAGTTCATGATTCTGTATTTGCAATGTGGCTGCCATGCTGTATATTTTCTTAATTAGGAGTACGTTCAACTGAACTCTCTGGGGTGTACTTCTGAATAGATATGCTTGGGATTATACAATGAAGCAAGATTATTTGTCTTACTTTGATTCCTAGTGAAGCAGGTTGCATTCTACATTGCTACCTTGATAGCATGGCAGGAGTATTACATTGTTGTTTTAAAAAAACCTTTCTCTATGTTTTTACTCTGGGAGAAAAATGACTTGGGTGGTACTACATTTAAATGAACACAGTTACAAGCTGATTTCCTAATATGCCTCAAGGAAGATCAGGACTTTTTCTGCTCCAGCATCAGGGAAAATCTGTATCTTAAAAAATTTAGCATACATTCATTCTTCCCTTTGTGAAAGAGGATAGCACACATGTCTTTGAAATCTGTGGATAACATACTATTATTTGAAGATGAATCCAATTTCCTGTATGGGAAAATCGAGTTTCAAATTAAGCACTGAAGCTCCTTCGTCTTCCTTTCTGCTTTTGAATGTGACCTTGGTGCAGGAATCTAGCTCCCTGAATTAAATTCTGGAGACACAACAGTTTGTCCCACATGCAATACTCTTTCTTTGTTTCCAGTCATCCAAGAATATATCGAGGGGGTAATCACCCGAGAGTAAGTATACATATTCCTCCCTGAACTGAGCAGGATCGAAGTAAGAGAAATTTTGGGCTATATAAATAGGAATATCATGTCTAGATCCAGGGAAGTAATGCTACCCCTCTATTCTGCCTTGGTCAGACCACACCTGGAATACTTTGTCCAATTCTGGGCCCCACAATTGAAGGGAGATGTTGAAAATCTGGAATGGGTACAGAGGAGAGCAACTAAAATGATCAAGGGTCTGGAGAACAAGCCCTATGAGGAGTGACTTAAAGAGTTGGGCATGTTTAGCCTGCAGAAGGGAAGAATGAGAGGACACATGATGGCCATGTATAAATATGTGAGGGGAAGTCATAGGGAGGAGGGAGCAAGCTTGTTTCTGCTGCCCTGAAGACTAGGACATGGAACAAAGACTTCAAACTACAGGAAAAGAGATTCCACCTGAACATGAGGAAGAACTTCCTAATGGTGAGAGCTGTTCAGTAGTGGAACTCTCTATCCAGGAGTGTAGTGAAGGCCCCTTCTTTGAAGGCTTTTAAACATAGGTTGGATGACCATCTGTCAGGGGTGTTTTTTTTTGTTTACCTAATTTATACCCTACCTTTCTCTATCACAAGGAGACTTAAGGTCGCTTACATGCGCTTTGAATGTGATTTTCCTGCTTCTTGGCAGGGGGTTGCACTGGATGGCCCATGAGGTCTCTTCCAACTCTATGGTTCTATGGTTTTGTGAAAGATGGCATAATCAACTGTCAGTTAAGAACACTTCATTAATAAAGGGCATTTCCTATTGGAGAAGGATCTCCTAAGTGGAGATCCTTCTCATCATAATGAACTTGGGTTCTATTGTATTTCATTACCTTAATAAGCCTAGTGAACTCAGTGGATAGGATGGCAGTCTTGAAGTTCAATTATTCTTACTAGTAAGCAAGTTGCATTTCTTGTGACTACACTACTGACATGATCAAATCTGGGAGGAAAATGAAAAACTTGGCAGACAGGTTCTTATGATTAATAGATCTAAAGATCAAAGTCATAACCAGAGATATATGCACAAAGGATTCGTAACCATGATAGCAATATACAGAACCTTTTACATAATCTGTTCATCAGAAAATGCATTCCTTCTCTTCCCCAAATATCAAGAATTAAAAATACCCCAAGGTGTAAAAAACATTTTGAGTTAGACGTCACCCTCTAAAATGTCTTTTATCTCTTTATCATTTCTTATTTATACTATGCTTATCATTTCACTTGAAAATGCTATAAAAATTAAAAAGGCATGACCCTGCCCACAGGTTTACAAGACAGTTTTTAAAGATATGTAAAATGATAGCAGTTAAAGTATACTGAATTGTTCTGTTCATGTTATGCTATTGGCTTTAATGTGTTATATTCTTCTGTTTTTATATTGTACTTGTTCTCAGTATTTATGACTTGGCTACATTTGCATGAAATTGCCAGATTTTAAAACTGTAATCTATTTTCCTCATTCAAAGGGCTTTGTTTTTATAGGTCTGATGTCTGTAAATTAAAGTTTGAAGGGAAGACATTCTACGTGATTGCAATTCAGAAAGAGGTTTGGTATTTTATATTTTCTATATACTAAAAGAGTAAATTTACATTTGGGCTCTTTCTGAGAGCTAGTGTGCAGTTATTCTTCCTCTTACAATATAAGTTTCGGCCTTATGTACTGGAACAGTCAACTTAATGCTTATGAATAAACTCGGTGTTCCTTTCCAGAGAACAGCCCAATGTATATAGAGAAAATGCAGTGAATAATACTTATGGAATATATATGTGTATAAAATGTATGGAAATGTTTGTAAGTTGTTACAAATTATTGTTCCATTCAATCCAGTCTTAGGTTGTCATTTTCCTTCAAGCCATTTTTGACTAATGCCAGAAATTAGTCTAATGTGGACCTATTACAGGATTTTCTTGGACAGATTTGTTCAGAGGAGGTTAGACTTTGCCTTGCTCTGAAGATGAAAGTGTGTGACTTGCCCAAGGTGACTTATGGTTTTTCAGGGCTGAGCAGGGATTTGAGCCTTGCTTTCCAAAGTCAGACCTCTACACAACACTGGATCTCTAATTCATTGTTATGTATTTTCATTATTTGATATATTTTGAATTGGAAGAGTAAGAACAAAAACTCTTTATAGCAGTGGTTCCCAACCTATTTTAATAAATAACTTTATTAGTTACATATTTACAGTATTTTAAAAGAAAGGAGAGGGTTTTAAAAAAAGATGGAATAGAGCGAGGGAAAAGTAACGTGAGTAAAAAAACCCTAACCAGGGGGCACTTTGCCCAGGGACCACTCTCCAACATTATTACCAAATGGATTACAAATCAGTTTTTGATCACATTCTTATTGCTTATTTGGAGTGCTGATTCAGAAAATAGCATTGGATAGATCACATCAGCTCGAGTTTCTGATCCAGAACATATGCCATCCAGTAGTCGCCATCTGCTCACTCACAGAAAACCATATTTAATAAGCCTCGGCATTATAAAAGGGTTTCACAAGACCAGTTGCTTTTGTTGCAATGGTATGTTAATTGTGAGGCCACAGACAATATTTTAGTTCTTGCAGACCACTGATGGTCCATGGATCACAAGTTGGGAACCACTGGTTTATAGGAATAAACCTCCAGAACTGAAAGTTAATAAAACTATTATTTGTTTGATGCATGGTATCCCTTACTGGTGTTTTTTTTTTAATGCTTCTCAATCATTTTGGCTGGGCAATTTGCACAGTAAGGAATCGTAGGACCAGAATATTTAATTTCAGATGAGAAGAACAAATAGAGAAAATAACCATGTAGGAAAAATATCCCTAAACAGAAGGCTATCAGGTGGGTAATATGGAGGAAAGCTTGAAGAGGATCAATACAGTAAGAGGATATAGGGACTGTAGATTTAGGGTCTTTGAAGAGACTTACCACGGTCTTCTAAATTCTCTAGTACACAGGCTTTTTCAAGCACTAAAAAGAACAAGGGTTTTTGTCACAGCCTAAATATAATTTATCTTCTTCACTATAAAAGTGTCAAGTCAACATTTTTCTTCTCCTTTTTCATTTTTCATTGCATATATAGAAAAAGGCTATGTTGTCATTCCATACTTCTACACCAGCAGCCTGCAAGCATCTTTGGAAGTGCGGAGTGGAGAATCAGGCATTTTACAAGTAAGCTGTAGATTATAAGTCAACAATACAATAAAGAATATGGACATGACTAAAGAGTATCAAACAATTCTGGGGGGCTTTTTATGTTGAATGGTGAGGTAGGCAAATCTTCCACAGATTTGCCTTCACATTAATTAGCTTGATGATTTTGAACTGGAAAAATAAGAACATTATGATCATATTTGCATGGTAGTAAGCAATACTTCCCAGGCTTGCAAGAGAGTGACATACAGTTATTATTTATTCTTTATTTATTAGCTGCATTTCTATACTGCTCTTCTCATCCCTGGGGAGGGGACACAAAACAGTTTACAACATAAATGGTAAAATTCAATGCCTCACATATGTATAAAAACTTATGACATATCTAAATCAATAACATGTAACTGTAGTTTAAAACCATTAAAACTATAAAAACATCAAACATAGACATAAGCATGAAACATGTTATTGCTGCAATTAACAACGCAGACCCCTACTCCCCTCCCCCCATCTCCCTCTCCATAGTGTTTCAGCCCTTCTTTTTATACTCTCCCTGCTCATAAGACACAAAGTTCTTTAGATACAGATTGAGTACAGAATGGAGAGGGTAAAAACATCCTGGGTCTTCTTGGGGGATAGTAAGTGTGATATGAGATCCTAGGGGGGCAGGAGGGAGAGCCTTATCTGATGATGGCATTAGATTACGAATCCATTTGGTAAAAGTCCAGAGCAACAAAGATGTTCTCCGTTGTGGTGCTATCAAGTCAGTTGTGAGCTATCACTTGCCAGTAAGCTGAGGATGGTTTATGGGCAAGCGAAGACCGCCACCCAAAGACCAACCGTGGAAGGGGTGATGACAAAACCCAAAATGCATTGGGATAGTCACTAAGATTCTAGATGGAAGGACAACAAAAAAGTCCCACTTCCGCTCTGGAGGAGCCGAAGTCTCCTACCTTGTTTTCACCTTCTCCTCGCTGGCCGTTGGTGGGGGGTGGCGACAGAGTGTGGTGAGGAGAGTTGGTCTGCAGGCTGTACCTTTCACTCTCCACTCGGTTATGCTTGATAAGAATATGTCCAAAATGATAAAATTAATACCCACACCACTTATTTTGCTTTGCACCTGCCCTTGTTCCTAATTCATGCTCTTAGCAACACCAGTTGCTGGAAGATGACCTCAAACCTTTTCCAAATTGGAATTCAGATCCTGTATTGAAACAGTTTTCCTATCCCTGCCAGAGATGGCATGTGCAGGGGAAAAGTTGATATCTAAGTCAATGTCTTGTTCAAGCAACACTATACATGCATGTGCAAGCATAACACATGTTGTTCTATGTAAATAGGAAGTATATGTGAAATAGCTGGAGTTATTCAAACCAGCAGCAGGTATACTGTGATCATGACTGCTGCATGTTTTCCAACCATATGCCAGTGTGTATTGTGACTTTCAGATGTGACCTGCAACTTTTCAAAGACTACACTATAGAAATCCTATGCTGTTTCCCAAATTATTTGAAAGAGCACCATTATCTTGATTCATATCATAAATTCAGAATCCAACAACATATGAATTTCAGAACTGTAAGCAAGATCCTGAGCTCCTTCAACAGGGAAAGATTAACGACAAATATTTAGTTGTCCAATGTATAGGCTAGTTCTGCCACTAAATTCAGAGTATCTCAATATGTGCATTTAAATCTTCCTTCTTAGTGCATAAAGCTTGCCAAACAGAGTTCATTTCTATTCAGGGGACTTTAAAACAAGCTATGTAAGGTTCATGAAAATTGTGGGGCACATTAGTAACAAGTAGTCCTTCCCTGAATATTAGCTGACCAATGAGCAGATTGTAATGAAATATATATATTTAAAAACCCTTCTTTAAAGGAAACATGCTTGCACAGATTATTTGTGATTATTCCTCCATGATGAACACAAAACAATACAGTGCGTATGATAATAGTGCTAATTGTTTTGTATTATGCCTTTTAAAAACTTAATTGAAAAATCTAAATGTGTCTGCTTTGCTTTTCTCTGAAGGTATGCAAAATCAAGCCAAATCAAGACTGTGTCCAGCAGCAAAATATTTTTTAAAGGTAGCAGGTTTCGATACAGGTAAGATTAGAGACAGAGTATGTGTTGTCAATAAATGGCCAGCTCTTTGCCGAGATTTTATCTGTAGAAGAATATATATATATATATATATATATATATATATCATTTAAATAATCAGAAAAATTTAAATATAGTTATTCATTACTTTAAGTGTTTTGGACTGTCAGTGAAATCTTCATCAAATGTTAATTTTTGTCTTTGATTACAGTGGAAAAGTTGCCAAAGAGGTTGTTGAAGCAAGTTCTAAAATCCAGAGGGAGCCCCCTGAAGTGCACAGGTACTTTCTTATCAAAATCAGACCTGAATAAGTTGATGTAAAAAATGTTCAGCAACCTCTTTGCTCTTGGCTGCCAAATAGATTGATTTCATCATCAGATCCTTTTACATGACACAGTTATGGTACTATGGCACCTCTATTAATTACCATAGCTATGCCATACATATTCCCAGATATTGTGGTTCTTTGGTTTATAATTCTGTAGTATTCTTGGGCCTTGAAACCCTACCACACCAAGGATGGAAGATGAAGATGGCCTACAGACCAGATGTTGCCCACTGGTTTTTATTTATTTATTTATTTTATTTACTAAATTTATATACCACTTTTCCGCCCCTAGGGGAACTCAAAGTGGTTTCCAAAATTATTAAGGCAAAATTCAATGCCGTACATACATGTGAAAACCAAAAGATAACAAGACAATAACATATAACTATAAATTAACCTAAAACATAAACATAAAATAACATTTAGACATAAAGCATAAAAATTAAACACCAATAATATAATAACATTTATATTAAAATCCATCGATAAACAATACAATTTAAAAGCAGTTATTAAAATCATGTCATCCAAAATCAAGTTCATAGTCGTTCCATTGGTCTGTTCACTATTCCTTATGATCTTATTGCACTATGAGTTTTTCTGTCTGAAAGCTTGGTCACATAACTATGTTTTTACTTTCTTCCTGAACGTCAGGAGGGAGGGGTTGCTCTAATTTCATTGGGGAGAGAGTTCTATAGCCAAGGGGTCACCACGGAGAGGGCCCTGTCTCTCATCCCCACCATTTGTGCTTGTGGGGAAGGTGGAATCGAGAGCAGGACCTTCCCAGAAGATCTTAATCTCCGAGGTTCTGTAAGCCACACCCTGTAAATCCAAAACCCAGTACATAAATTTAAGGAAATTCAAATACTCTGAAAAACAAGAGTTAAGAATTAAGCAGTTAAAAGCTCATCAGTTACCATTATCTCTGTGTATACTATAAGATGGTGAAATGAATCTAAACACATCATACTCGATTATTGTGGCATAAAATGTGTCACCCCACTAAACACACTTAATATTTTGACCATGTTATGCAGCATCTTTTTGTGCCTTGATTTTATTTAACTATTTCTGAGTCTTAAATAAGGGGTTCAGATTATTATTAACAGTTTAACTGAGATTAACTGAAGAGAACTCTTTTGTTTTATGTTATTTTTAATTATCTGGAGTCTCCGTACAGAAGATTCTTCTGGCCTCATAAAATAAGTTTTATTTCCTTAGAGTTTTGCCATGTACATTTTTCTTTCGTTGAAATTTAATTCTTACTTCAAAGAACCCGATCAAATATTACATAAGGGTATTCTAGGGGACTATACTGACATTCAATCATACAGAAACGCTTGGAAGAAAATAACAGCAAAGCATCCCTTGACTCTTTGTTGTTGTTATGTGCCTTCAAATTAACACCAACTTATGGTAATCCTATCAGTTTTTCTCTCTCTTGGTATGTTTTATTCAGAGGAGGCTTGCTGTTGCTTCCCTCTGATTGTAGCACACAGCATCTAGTATTTCCTGGTGGTCTCCTTTACAGGTATTAATAAAGCGTATCTCTGCTTAACTTTCAAGACAGGTGTCTCTACAGTATTTGTACAGACCCCTTTGGTTCTGCCATGTCTTTTTTAAAAATATGCTTTGAGATATGGCAGTATGGAGGTTTTTTAAATTTTTAATATGTTCTTGTTTTCTTATTCTCAGAACCAACATTACTCAGAGTCGCAGCTCTCACTCCTTGAACAAGCAGCTCATAATTAATATGGAGCCTCTGCAGCCACTCCATCCATCATCAGACGACCAGGAAGATGTTGTCTCTGATGAAGGCAAGTCTGCTTCTGATGTAACTTTGCATTGTAATTTCACATACTATCTCTCTCACTTTTTCCAAAGGAAAAAAAAAAGCAAAGAAACAGAGACAGACACATACATAAATGGCAAAACCATTCATTCGTTGGCTTTCATTGAACTTTGAGGAACACAACATTATTTAAAGGTTGTGTATAGCTTGAGTAAATAGGGAAACAGCATAGCACTGCGAAAATCCAACTAATATTATTCAGCACATTTTAGACTAACTGATATAAGGTTGAGGAGAATTAATAATAATTCAGTATTCATCATCACAAAATCACAAAAAGTAGGATTCCCATGTTATAGATGGAGACAGAGCCATAGATACAGTGACTCCTCTCATTCTGTCTTGTTGCTGATTTGAGATGTGAACCCAGCACTGGAGGCCTCTCTTTTATCACTAAGAGTCTTATAGAGGAAGTGCAGTATAACCTCATTTTCACAATCATTCAAAAATTGTGTACTCCATTGCATTCTACTGTAGAACCCAAATAAATAAAAAGTAAGAGATAGAAGATTTTCATTTCAGTTGTCAAGCACCTCGTTTCCCTAAGCAGCTGGACAGGGATAAAGATTCATTTGGTTTGTTAGGACGGAAGGAAAATTAGGACTATGTTTGTTCCTTTGTAATAGAGACAACCAAATGATGGGAGAATTAGAGAGAATAGTGTGTAGGTGGCCACATACAGACCAGGGATATCACCAAATTATTTCAAAATGTATGGATGTACAAATAATCTGTACCTAATCTATTTCAATCTCCTTGTAACCAAGGGTAGAATTATTGTGTCCAATTTCCATGCCATTCTATGAAATCCTACTTCACAAAATTTTTCAGTTTTCTACGTCACATTCCATAGCATACATATTTTGTACATATCCTTCCCTGTTACATAATTATTTGTATTTATCTTTTCCTGATATTTGCATTCCTGTATGCAGTGTTTGCTGATGCGTGGATTTTTATAAGTCAAGAATGGCATCGTAAAATTCAGAATCCGGGGAAATAACTATGTTCCAATTTACCTAGCAGTCAAGGGGGTATAATGATATCCAAACAATATTGTTCCCCATCCACACTCGGTATGTGTTCTTCTATTCCCTCCTCAAGGGCTTTAAACAGGAGATACAATCACTCAACAAATCTGTTTCACTCTGAGATGATGTTGGGGGTATCATCTGGGTGCAAACTATGCATTTTCCCCACTCCCATTTTTCTTACTACTCAATTGATCAATTTTCCTGCCCCAAAAGGGCCCTAAAGCCTTGTTGTTCCTGGCATAAGCTAGACAACAACTTTTCCTCCATCATCTGAGGATGCATGCGATGGAATTTCCACCACTCAGCTCCTTCTTTCTACTTGTTTCTCTTCCCCCCTTTCCCCTGTATAAAATGCATGGCTGAATGAGATCTTAGTTATCTTTTCCAGTTTGATCCTCCAGAGCATGCAGCTGGGGTTATTCCTGTCATGAAAGCCACCTTGGCTGTTTCCTGTTGCTGGTAACTCAAACTAGATTTGAGTTCCTCCTTAAACTTGACTAACTTTCCAGCTTCTTTAGCTGACTGGCTGAGAAGCTCCTACTGCTGGATCCTTGCTCTTACTGCTCCTGCTCCTGCTTTTATACTCTGTCAGGGGAAGATCCTGCCCTCAGTCCCCACCTGGTCCAGCATGACCCCGTCCCTGTGTTCCTTCCTGGAAGCCTGGCAGCCTGGGAATCTGGCTCCTTCTCTCCACCACGTGACTCTCCCTCCCGTCTCCGTGCCCCCAGGTCTCTTGGTGAGTGACGATGTGGGTTGGCTTGGGTTGGGGGGCTACTGGTGTTTTTGTTTTTAACCTAATCACACCATATATATTGGAGAAAGGTTGGAAGAAGAAAACAAGAGGCTATGTGGCTATAAACTATTGTCCTCACTGGATTGCTATCATGGTTTAGAGTTTAATATTCTGTGATGATGTGCTACTATTCTGACTCTGGAAGAATCTGGTTCATACAGGAGTGAGTGTGCCACACCCCAAAAGCATCCTCATTTCTCAGACCAAAGGTTTCCAGTGCTCTCTGTTGCAACACAACAGCCATTGTACATCTTCTGAAGGACACCAGAGAACACCATTGACAATCCCCTTTAGGTTTGTGGATTGGGTCTGAGGCATGGCAATAGTGTTTCAGGGAAATAGATTTTTTTAAAATTACTGTTCAAAAAACTTTGGCATCCCCTCTGTTCATTTTTTTCTCAATAATTGCCTTTATATTTACTTCTGCAAATTCCAGTGTATTCATTGCCAGCATGTTTCCCCTTAGTCATTAGATTCATGCATTAAGGTCAGATTGGCCCTTTTGAACCTCCATCCAAGAGACAACTATGAATCATGAACTATTAATATAACCGTTATGAAGCTACTGGAATTGCTTGGAACTCTGTGATGTCATACTTCTTATCCAAGGCTGTTTTCCTGCTGACAAATGAAGGCTCATAGTCATGAACACAGACTGTACTTACTTATTTATGATTTTAAAAATTCTTCTTCCTGCAAAAACATTAACATTTGAGGTGACTAACAATAATAAAATTAAAATATAATCTAATCTACATTTCAAAACTACATTTATAATCCACAAATGTTTTAAACATAATTAAGATATTGCAATAAAAATAAAATAACACCACCTGATTAAATAAATAATTCAGCTTCTATTTGATGCTCTTCAAAGGTTATTAAGTATTTTTGGCAATGATGCGGCCTTATGTTTACTGTATGTTAATTTTCTAATTCGTGATTGTATTTTAATATTTGACAGTGAAAAGAAAACAGGGAACACCAGTCCTCCACCCTTGCTTTAGCTTGAAGACCTTGTAGCTCTCAATCCTACCAAGTAGTGATTTACTTATGGGACCATAGTGAGATTGTGGAAAACTCTTCCATATGACATTGCAACCATCCCATTCAACAGGCACACATGCACACAAACCCCAGGGACATGGCCCTTGTAGGGATGCAGATACCAGTGTAAAGAAACAAATGTTTGCCATAACAGTCATGAAGTACTAGTAGAGTAAGAAAGTTCTTACCTTGGATGAAACATTAAAAGAGGGGCACATGTGGCCAAGCAACATTGAATATGATCAAAATCGCAAATGTCATTAATGAGGAAGATTACATAGCCAGCAATAGGCTACAGTAGTTTATGTTTACATGATTCTACAGGGAAGGCCAACATTTCCCTGTTCTCTTCTGTAGTACAACTGCTGTAGTACAACCTACTACAGCAGTTGGAGCAAGTCAAGGATGATGAGGAATATTGGGAGTATGAGAGAGAACATTTTAAGAGTTGTTGAAAAAGTGGGATGACAGAAGATTAATCAGGACTGTCCCTGCCAATTCAGATCAGTTTGAGAGCATCAGGTAGCTCTAGAAAAGAGGCTATTGACTAGTGAGGTGGGCCACCAATAAACAACAACAAAAAAATAGCAAAAAAAAAAATACTCATGTCCTAAACATTTACTGAGTTGCTATGTTGCCTTTTGGAGCACCTCTCAGATACACAATGGCCTCAGCACAACCCTGCTTACTTACTTACTTACTTACTTACTTACTTACTTAGGCGATCCCTCGTTGGACGAGTAAGATGGTCTTCCATTATGGATTTCCTTGTGGGTCCGTATGTGGCTGTGGAGCCCTATTCTTGCTCTGCATCTTCTCCCACAGTGAGGGCATTGGTTTCCAGGTGGAAGGCGGTCCCGGTCGGGGTTGGCTTGACGCGCCTTCCTCCTGGCACGTTTCTCTCTTTCACCTGCAACCCTGCAAGAGTGATGTGGTAATGGTACAAATGTTGGTGTTTCCATTAAATAGAGATAGCTTAGTTTCATTTTGAGGAAGGGAAGATCCAGTGGACAGTCTCAAAAATAGAGCTTTTATTATGAAGATCTTCAGTCTTACTGAGAAATTTCCATCCAATCTAGCAATTTCACTAGAGTAAAATCACATTTAACCATCAAGAAAGTAGGATTGGTTGATCAATTGTTAAATGAAATCCCCACAATTCAAAGCAGTATCTCTGAACACTAGAAGCCCGATGAGGGAGGGAAAACAATTACACCAAAAATTGTTATATTGGGTAAACTTTAACAGATATTGACTGAGCTTCTTGTTGTGTGTAAGTGCGTACAATTCTAGGAATTTTCTCCAAATATGGGAAATGTTAAAATCTTGATGTCGTTAGTATTTCTCTTAAATCAGAATCTCTTTTGCTGGTAAATGACTTCCAGAGAAATAAAGTTACAGGGGCTTCTAGCGTTGTTCCGGAGTAAAGGTTACAAGTTTATTTTAGCTCTTTGAGTTTGGCAAGGATTGCTATTTTGTCTGTTGGGTATCCCTGAAGAAAAGCAACCAGGCTGGACCACAAATGTAGGATGGGGATTCCCCACCAGAAATGTCTTTCTGACACCTCATTGCAATTATGATCCCCAGCATTAGAAGAAAATGTGCTGTCTAATACCTTTGGGAACAGATTGAATCTGTTCACTGCTTGCTGGCAGTTAGTTTTAATGGATATTTATGTATATGGCTGACTCAGCTATATGATTTCAGGCTATATATTTCAGTACAAATTCTTCTTCTGTCCTTCAGACGTAATTTTTCCATGTAACATGATATGAGTTATTTTTGCACACATTTATTTGTTGACCATGACTTCAGCCCCGCTGGACACCCCAAAGCCATTTATTCACTATGGGAGTTCAGTCCATGAATTAGAAAACACACTAATGACTTGGAGGGGCATTTATGTTTTATCAGTATAAAAATAACAGATCAGCACCGTTCCTTGGCAGTCAGAGGCTTGCTTTTTATATCCTATAAATAGCTCCAAGGGTGTGTTTGCAGCAACAGGGTTGCTTACAGATTTTGTGTCTGAAAATATGCCAAAGCAACGTAGAGCAAGAAAGGGTTAGTTATTTGTCTTTGGTTTTACAAAGTGAATGTTTATTGAGAGTGAACAGAAAAACACATTTCCAGGCTTTCCCTTTCAATGGGAAATGAAATCAATGAAATTACTCATAGGGATACTTCAGATCAGTGTGCATTATAGGGAAAAATATTTTTTGCAGTTCAGTATTATATTGAAATACAGTTACAGGCACCCCAAGTTATGAATAAGATTTGGTGCAATCTGCAAATTGTATCCCTTTTTTCTTTCATCTGATTAACCATTATATTCATGTATATAGGCAGTCCCCAAGTTACAAATAAGATAGGTTCTGGAGGTTTGTTCTTAAGTTGAATGTGTATGTAAGTCAGAACAGGTACATTTCTAAGGATAACTCCAGCCACACACACACACACACATATAGAGAGAGAGGAGGGGGGGAGGGAGAGAGCTTTAGATAGCATAGAGAAGGGTTAACACCCCTGTGGAGTTTGTTTTGCTGTTTGTGCCCCTGTTCAGAAGATGTCACCTTACTTTCTGTCCCTGTTATAACTGGATTTTGAAAAAATTGGCTTGCTGTGGAAACAATTTCCCTTCCAAGGGGCAGATTTCTCTCACTTCCTGATGTCACACCCTTATTCTTAATTATGAGTAATTTGTAAGTCAGATGTTTGTAACTCGGGGACTGTTTGTACTGTATTTGGTGAGAACCAAACATTTTCTGAGTGCCAAAGATGCCATTTCTGTGAGTGTTTTTGATGCTTGATAAATCTAGTGCTAAAATCTTCTTGGCTGCATAGTATACCTGAAGCAAACATTAGTTATATGTCTTCCTTCACCATCTAACCTGGACCTTAACATCTTTCCTCAAAGGAAAGACATTCGTAGGAATAGAGGAACCTGTCTTATACCATGTCAAAAACTTCTGACCCATCTTCTGCTACCTACATTGACCAGCAGAAGCTCTCAATGGCTTCTGTGGCCCTACTTGAGGATTCTAGCGATGTTGACATGGATGTACTTCATGTTATCCATATTCTCTGGCACTAAGCTTCCCAGAGGTTTCATTATTTTGTCCCTGTATTTACATTCGGAAACTTAATTTTGCTAAAACATCTGAATTAGGATAACAGTCAATAGAATTCAGATGTAGTTTTTCATGCTGAGTTTTGCTTTTCTCAATTTTTGATATTGAATCCTTTAAAAAATAGGGGTTTCCTACCAACATGTCTTGCTGTTCCAAAATATATTTCTGCTAGTGTTGTTACCATCATATCATGTTATTTGTGCCCTAGTATTGTCAAATGTCACTGTGCATGGCATCATCTTTGGACATGTACCTTGAGTAGGAGTATCATCACATTCCCAGACATATTTGAGCACTACCTTACCTTTCCAATTAACTTTTGATTTCTCTGACAAATAACTACAAACTCACTTGGTCTTGTTTTGGATAAACAGAGCATATCCTCTCTTCCCTAGGCCCAGAATGTCCTAGTATTATATCAGGCACTGCTGGCTGCTCAACAGTGGCTTTGACTTGACTGGGCTCCTACAGAAGGCTTCCATATTGATCGCTCTTCTCCTCTAATGGTTGCCATGTGAGGGACATTTCAGCTATACCACTGGGCCACAGGCAACATTAGAGTACTTTGCACTGTCAAGGGTTACTCGCACAAATAGCAAATTAGAAGTATAGATTCCAAATGAAAGATCAAAATGCATCCCCTTAATGTGAGAGCTCATATCAGTTTATTTTTACTTTGACATGGGCCCTTGTGGACTTTTGCTGTCTGTTTTGCTGTTCTGCCCTGTAGTCCAGTAAACACGTTTAGGGGCCTAGATTGGTATG